TCATGCATTTTCATCATTCATCATTGAAAATTATATCTGATTTTATTCATTTCCATAGAATTCATTTTTATTCAGTAGTACCTACAATCAGTTGTTTTGAATTGAATAGGCCATTACTTGATGGGAATTTATAGGAAAGGTAGAAAACTCCACAAACGATAAGATTTCCACAAAATTCTTAATCACACAACATGTTTCTCTAACACAGTAGCGTAGCTTCTTTAGGTGAAATATTTCTTGAGTGTAAATGTCTTCAAGTCAAGATGATTTACCACCCGATATCGAGAATGCGGCGACAAGTGTTATTTGAATTTTCTTTGCATGCATTCAATAAACGATTTATTTTGGATGAAATTTATTTTTCATGTTGAAAAGGAACATTCTCAGATAAATTATGAACATACAAAAATGGATATACAGTGTGTCCCACTTACCATGCTCACCATGGGTATCTTCTTAACGGTGAGAGATACGAGTTCGGTTAAATGACACCAAATGTGGAGTTTGTCGAGGCCAACTATAATGTGAAAAAATATTTCGATAAAATCTATTCGTTTTGGTTTTATACGCAAAAAACAGATTTTGATCATTTTCATGTCTCCTCCGTAACTTCTTTATTTATGAAAATATTTAAATAGAAATTTCACATTCTCATGACAGTTTTTAAAAGTGATTTCGAATAAAATATGGAATTTATACCAACTCTTCTAGAATTTGAGATATCAGCACCAACTTTAGTTTTTTAAATGTAGGTCATAGCTCACTATGACTTAGTTACAAATAACTTTTTTTTCTCTAACAGATGATATATCGCAGTAATAGTTTTGTGTTGATAACAACGGAGTTATCGTCATTTATACAAAAACAAAAAATTATTTGGAAGCCGTCATCTTGAATTTATGAATTTTAACAAAAAAATCATGATCTCCGAACTCAAAAACCTCCACTTACCAATTTTGAATGGAATCGGACCAAATCTTGTCCGCCATCTTGGAGCAGCCATTTTTTCAATTTCAACAAAAATTCCATAACTCCGAAACTTGAAATTTGGAAGGTGATCATAATCTCGGTGACAATACATAATGGAATTTTTGTTGACATTTTAAAAAATGGCTGCTCCAAGATGGCGGACAAGATTTGGTCCGATTCCATTCAAAATTGGTAAGTGGGGGTTTTTGAGTTCGGAGATCATGATTTTCTTGCTAAAATTCATAAATTCAAGATGACGGCTTCCAAATAATTTTTGTTTTTGTATAAATGACGATAAATAACTCCGTTGTTATCAACACAAAACTATAACTGCAACATATCATCGGTGAGAGAAATAAAAGTTATTTGTAACTGAGTCATAGTGAGCTATGACCTTCATTTGAAAAACTAAAGTTGGTGCTGATATCTCAAGTTCTAGAAGAGTTGGTGTAAATTTCATATTTTTTCCGAAATCACTTTGAAAAACTGCCATGAGATTGTAGAATTTCAATTTGAATATTTCCATAAATAAAGAAGTTACGGAGGAGACATGAAAATGATCAAAATCTGTTTTTTGCGTATAGAATAAAAACTGATAGATTTTATCGAAATATGTTTTCACATTATAGTTGGCCTTGACAAACTCCACGTTTGGTGTCATTTAAGCGACCTCGTATCTCTCACCGTTAAAAAGATACCCATGGTGAGCATGGTAAGTGGGACACACTGTATATTTATATGAAGCAATACATTGAGAATTCGAATTTTCTATGTGATGAGAATATCTACTCTTTTTCAGTTTATTCAATAGAAAACGACTACTTTCCTGTCTATATGCCACGACGAACATCGAATTATATCTATTGAACACACACGATAAGAGTTTGAAAATAAAATATAAAAACTTCTGAAATTGAGAATTTGCATTCTCCTTCAGACAAAAAAAGTATATATGCACACATCATTCTGAATATTCAACAGAAAACAACTACTATCCTGGCTATTTTTCATCTCATTTCCGCACTAGTTCGTTAATAGATTCAAAAAAGCACTAGTGCAAATCATAATCATTACTTGACACTTGTGGAAAAAGTAAACTAACATTATTGGCATTTATAATATAAATAAAACTATAACTGACATCTGAAAACTATTTGTTGACATTCAACTCCTGTCATCTGAGTGCTTTTGTTTTAGGATGTATGACATCATACAGGACGTGGAAAGAAATTCTGAATATCAATGTTTTTCTCATGCTCTGGTTACCACGGAAAGGGATATCCTGTAATGTTCAGAGAACATCGTGAGAACTAAGGGGAATGAGGTAGGAATTTCTGGAGGTTATATGCCTCGAGGAACACCTCCCTTGGCAATGTGCCCCAGAGCATCGCTGTTCGTTGGATGAACGAGTCTTTGGAAAGAGATGTTCTGCAGATCTCCAAAGTGACCACGAAGGGGTGCGAAGCCTCAACTCGACGGGTTATTCTCGCGGGGACTGCCAAGGGAGGTACAATTGTTGATATTCCAGAAGAGAATCGTTCATCAAAATATCTATGAAATACAGCCAGATCGCCAACTTTTCTACGGTGTTCCAAAGAAGTGAGTGAGTTTGTGAGTGAGGCATCACCCACGAGACGAATTGCCCTTTTTTTGGACAGAATTTAACAGTTTCAGGGTATGTTTGGGTGCTGCACTCCAAATATGGGAACAGTATTCCAGGACAGGTCGGATCTGTGCCTTATAGATCATAAGCAGCTGACTGGAAGTGAAATAGCTCCTGGCCCGAAACAGAAAACCAAGTTTTTGGAATGCACTTTTAACAATTGACCTCACGTGATTTTCCCAACAACGGTTATAGCTGATAGTAAGTAATACCAAGCATCGAAATGGATGTCTTCAGAGGTATGGTTACTCCTGTTATGCTTATGTTTGGCACAGTGAGAGCGGCTCTTCTAGAGAAAAGGCATGCTTGTATTTTGTTTGCATTGAAATCTAAGTTATTGAATCCCCATTCGAGAATTGTTGCCAAGTCCATATTTATGTTGTCGACATTTCTTCCTCGTTCGATTCTGATCTGCCTGGCTGGTATTGGAGCCCTGGAAGAGAACGTGGTATGGAGGGTACTATCATCCGCGAAGCTGTGTACTGGACATGAAGTTGCTCCCAACAAATTGTTGATATGGAGTAGAAATAGTGTTGGTGCTAGAATTGATCCTTGCGGAACACTAGCATTTATGGTAAGAGAGTCAGATGAAACTCCGTCGACCACTACATGGAGAGACCTGTTTGAGAGAAAACTAGCTAGCAGAGAATATAGCTGGGGAGGCAAGCCATAAGATGGAAGCTTGGCGAGGAGTCCGTGGTGCCAGACTCGATCGAATGCCTTGGAGATATCAAGTGCCACGGCTTATGTTTCACCATATTTTTCGATAGGTTGCTGCCATATATGTGAGACGTAAGCGAGCAGGTCACCAGTTGATCTCTGTTGACGGAAGCCATATTGCCTATCGTTGATAATACCTGAATATTCCAGGTATTTCATGAGCTCGATGTTGATAGCTTTCTCCATGATCTTTGAAATAATAAATAGCAGTGCGATCGGTCTGTAGTTGCTAGGTAGGGTCTTTATGCCCTCTTTAGGAACTGGTTGTACTCTTGCAATTTTCCAGTTTGGCAAGCCAAACCAGTATTTCACAAGAAGTAGCTACTGTGTTAGCGAAAACTTGTCGTGTAATACAAATGTTTGTGGAAATCTGAGAGATTGTGGATTTTTTTACATTTATAACCAGTTGGTTCACATGCAGGGTTGATTACTATTAATTGTTATTTATCTCTCTCAATCGATAGCTCATCTAAAGTTCATAGGGAAAATAACACGGAACATAGAAGGACATTAGAAACGGTCAAAAATGACTGAAATGAAGAAAAGGGAATCGAAATCACTGGTAACTACTCTGGAAAGCAACTGTTTTATGTCTTCATTCATTGAAGAAAATGGGAAATTCAATCACCTCTTTCCAAGGAGAAAGGCAACTGCTTTTCCATTCAACCTAGGAAAACGGCAACATAGGTTTACATAAAATATGATATTCATTGTGAAAGTCACAGTGAACTAAAATATTATTCATTGTGTGTGGAACATCTATGGTATGAAATATCCTACTACAACATAGCTAGTACATTTCGAGGTAGCTTGAAAGTAAAAAATCATATACATTAATAATTATTCAATTACATCGGAAAAATCGGAAATCATATAATTCAATCAATAAGAGTTCTGACATATAAGATAATGAAACAAAATACAACTAATAGATAAAGTACATATATGTGAATCGGTTTATTAGGATAGAGTCGAAATGACTTGGACGATGATATATAGAAAGACAATTCTCCAGCCAAAGAAGATATTTGAAAGAGAATCACACCAACTGACTCGTTTCAAAGTAACTCAAATTTGATTCACCAAAAAACTTTGCTAAAAAGCTGGTAATACCGGCCAGTCTATAACTGACATTAGAATAGATGATGCATACATCAATTGAACAGAAATACCACACACAGACACTAGAATGGCCAAAAGTAGAGTGAAACCGGGTGGATCAAAATTATTTCCTTCATTTTCACACCATATAAGAACAATTCTTTGTTTTTCAGAAGAAACAATTTCACTAAGATAATTGAGAATCGTTAGACTAATAAAACATATTGCTGCGTTCAATTTATTTATTCTTTTCGATAGCACCCTGTATAATATTGAATGTTTCCATTTTTCTTCAGATTGAATACACTGAAAGATGCAGGTCTACTCATGGCCAAATCTCTTGTCTCGGAATATTTATGCAGCTCAAAATGTAGAGGAAATGTGCTTATGATGGCTCTCCTGTCTATGATTGCCCACCATGTATTTTCAAATATGGCGCCCTTACCGCCTTACCACTAAACTCCGCTAATGCATCAAGCCTTTTTAGTCTTTAGTCATTCGCTACTAATTTTGGAAAGCTTCTACTTCATATTAGTGATTTTACGAAATGAGATCCAAAGACGGCTATGAAATTGGTGAGTGTTGATCTAAGAACACTGTTCCCATTTTTTGTACTACACTCTCATACTGAAATGAATATGACAGCTGTAGTCGATGTGTAAGGTAGAAATGCACATTGTGAATCTGTTTCTGTCTTCAAATTGATTCTAGTGTAGATAGAACACATGTTATTTGATTCAAACTATCAATACGTTTATTTGTCTATGATGGTCCCCCAATTGCGTTCCAATGCTGCATGCCACAACGAATGCACTGGCTTCAACAATAGGTGCAATAATTTGTTTGCGAATTATGTGTTAGAGTTCATTTTTCATTTTGAGTTCTCCATATAATATTTCCATTTATATTCATCTGGAGTTGAGTACTCAGGGAATTTCAGAAAAATGCATAAAAATGGAACTATATATTCAATTTTTGGTGGGAATAGTGATATAGCTTACATTGAAGAACAGCTAATGAAGAGTCGGTCAGTTGCTCAATAGTTTTGAATAGATTCATAATAAGATAATTATGGGGCAAATTTCTTAGGGGGGGCATCATAGGCACATTTCCCAGGTAGAATTCCCCTTTGTATTTCAATCATTCCATTCATGTTTATATTCATCATTTCATACTGATGATCCTTCTACTAAAAAAAATTGTAATTGAATGTGAAACATTTTTATAAAAAGGGCTTTGGTCTTATGTGGGTCACACTGTATATACGCCATACACAATACCATTAACTGTATATAATATCAAAATTATCGACATCACACACAGAATACCTCTCTGAATCATCTTATCCATCAATGAATATGTGACATTCCAAACATTTCATATTATTTTCTAGGTAACATCATCTCATTTCTGAATGTACACCGCTGTTTCAATTGCTCAAAAAGATACAAAACGTTGAATAGTCTTCGCAGACATCGGAGAGTGGAATGTGGAAAAACGAAAGATGTTATCTGTGCAATTTGTAACCATTCCTTCTATTATAAGCAAGATCTACAAAAGCACATACACAAAAAGCATTGAGAACATGCAAATCTGCCCAACGAGAACTACATCATAGAAGAATCATATCCCTGCCAAAAATGTCTCATAGAAACTTATAAAAAAATATATATGAGAATTAATGAGAATGAAGTTGGATAGTGAAACAGTAATTCCGTATAATCCTATGTATTTTGCAGATCCATATATAATCAGTTTCTAATGGCTATTCTCTCCCTTCTTCTTAAAGGTATGAACTGTTTTTCGCAGATATATTCATAATCAGTTCCTACTAGTAATTCCTGGTTATTTACATATGAGAATATATCAGAGTCAAGTTGGATAGTGAAACAGTAATTTATAAGCTCGAAATGTATTCTGCAGTTACATTTATAATCAGTTCCTAATGGCAATCCTCAATGGAGTCGATGAGTTTGAAGTGTGATTCACAGATACATTCATAATCGGTTTTAAATGGCAATTCCTTATTAAAACATCGTAATTCATGATTTTGAAATGTGTTCTGCATGTACATTCATGACCGGTTCCTAATAGCAATTTCCAACGAAGTCTTTGAGTATGAACTATGTTTTACAGATACATTTATAATCAGATTTTGATGGCAATTCCTCATTGAAACACTGTGGCATTCATGAGAATGGAATGTGTTCTGCATATACATACATGATGAGTTTCTAATAGCAACTCTATGAGTATGAACTCTGTTTTGCAGATACATTTGAAATCAGTCCCTTATTGCAATTTCTTATTGAATTAACGTGGCATTTATGAGTTTGAAATGTGTATTGCAGATACATTCATAATGAGTCCCTTATAGCAATCATCATCAGTTCCTAATTGGAATTCCCCATTGGAACACCGTAGCATTTATCAGTTCGAAATGTGTTTGACAGGTACATTCATGATGGGTTTCTATTGACAGTTCTTCATGTACTCAATGAGTATCAGCTGTGTTTCACAGATAAATTCATAATCAGTTCTTAATAGCAATTCTTTTCGAAGTCTTTGAGTATGCACTCTGTTCTGCTGATACATGTATAATCAGTTCCTGATTGGAATTTCTCATTGAAATACCGTGGCATTCATGAGTTGAAAATGTGTATTGCAGATACATTTATAATGGGAATTTTTGAGTATAAACTGTTTTGCAGATACATTCACAATCAGTTCCTTATTATAATTTCTTATTGAAATACCGTGGCATTTATGAGTTTGGAATGTGTGTTGCAGATACATTCAGAATGAGTTTCTTATATCAATTCCGTATGAACTCTATTAGTATAAACTCTGTCTTGCTGAAACATCCATAATCAATTCCTAATCGGAATTCCTTATTTGAGCACAGTGGCATTTATGAGTTTGAAAAGTATCCTGCTGGTACATTCATAATCTATACCTAATAGCAATTCCTCAGGAACACTTAGAGTATAACTCTGTTTTGCAGATACACTTTTCATCAGTTCCTAATTGGAATTCCTCATTGAATTACCGTGGCATTTATCAGTTTGAAATGTGTTTCACAGGAACGATCATAATGAGTTCCTATTGGCAGTTTTTCACGTACTCTATGAGTATAATCTGTGTTTCACAGATACATTTATAATCAGTTCCTAATAGCAATTTCTTTCGAAGTGTATGACAATAAACGCTGTTTTGCAGATACATTAATTATAATTAGTCCCTATTCGGGATTTTATTCAAATACCTTGGCATTTATGAGTTCAAAGTGTGTATTGCAGATACATTCATAGATAGCTTATTATAGCACAGTCATATGAGATCTACGAGTATGAATTCTGTTTTGCAGATACGTTTCATAATCAGTCACTAATCGGAATTTATCACTAAAATACCGTGGTATTTATGAGTTCAAAATGTGTATTGTAGATACATGCATTCATAATGGGTTCATCATAGCAATTCCATATGAACTCTGATTTGCAGATAGATTTATAATCAGTTCCTGATCAGAACTCCTTATCGGAATGCAGTGGCATTTATGAGTTTGAAATGTTTATTGCAGATACTTTCATAATCAGTTCCTCATAGAAATTCCATATTAACTCTATGAGTATGAACTGTGTTCTGCAGATACATTCATAATCAGTTCCTGATCAGAGTTTCTCATTGTACTACAGTGGCATTTATGGGTTTGAAATGCGTTCTGCAGGTATATTCATGATCAATTCCTGATGTATAACTCTGTTGTGCATATACCCTTATCATCAGTTCCTAATTGGAAGTCTTAATTGAAACAGCGTGGCATTGATTAGTTTGAAATGAGTACAACATATCTATTCATAAAGAATTACTATTGACAGTTCTTCAGTATTTTGTACTGAACCCCTGCTTATTTTTTCATGTATCATTCGATTTTGTTTCCGAGAACGATCTCTCATATTTTTTCTGTATAAACCAACAGAAAAACAGTCGAACTTTTGAAAAATTAGTCAGTTTTTTCATTGGCATATATAAAATTTGAAAATTTAAAGGAAGAGTATTGAAGAAAGTTTCTTGGATAAATAAAATTGACAATACATAAAAAAGTTGAGTAGGGGTTCTAAATATTCGTGAATACCCTGTACAGGCTGTCCCATTTTCGATGTCATAACGGGGGATAGGTATCTCATTTATTTTCTAAAATAGAGATCTTCCATTTTCGCAAACGTGGGATCCTTTTTAGTGAAACTCACGATACCCTTAACCAAGTTTTTGTAGCCCGCTGCCTTTTTGAGATACAGGGCGAAATTGAAAATGCTGCATTTCGGGACCCTTCTTGTATCTCAACCATCTCCCAATTCATCGAAAAAGTCGAAAGTGTTTGTAATACATTTTTTCACGTAGAATCCAGTGGCGTAATCAGAATTTCAGAATAAGCTGCTATCATCCAGATATAATCAATCCAAAGTTATGTTTTTTCGAATGGAACATCACGCATATTTTTCCTCATTTGAAACATTGATGCTTTTCGCTTTTCAAAAATATACAACTTATGAGATATTTCTAGTCTTAGCCCAACATTCTGATAAATTCTAGTTTCTCAGTAGACTTTTCATCGATTGAACTTGTAAATATCTGGCAACATTGTCCATATCATAAATTTTCATATTTGCCTTGTTGCTGATACAGTGTTTCGTCACACACTATATAGATTCAATTTTTACCAACAATAAACATTCACCAATAATCAGCAGTATTTATTGAATATAAAAGCTGTGGACCTAACGAGTAGGTGGCTATGAAAAAAAGCGAGTGCAGAATGTTTTATAATATTTGTCACATACCTCTGTAGAATTTACAATTTCTTCATACAGCGGCGAATAATAATCCAGGATATCAGAACCACAAAAATTTGAAACCAACTTATTTTATATCACAACCATTTCTAATTTTCGTATCCTGGATTAGTATTCGCTATCGTATGAAAAATTTGTGAATTCGACAGGGAGGTGGCAAGGATTTAAAAACATTCTACACTCGCTCTGTTTTCATAGCCAGCTACTAATGAGGTCCACATCTTCTAGAGACAATAAATATTGCTGAATATTGGTAGATCTTTAATGTTGGTGGAATTGAAACTAGTGTATGAGAAAACATTGTGTCAGCAGTAAGGTCAATATGAAAATTTGTGATATGGACAATGCATGTTGCCACATATTCACAAGGCCCATCGATGAAAAATCTACTGAAAAACTAGACATTTTTCAAATTCATGCCTTCTACTATATATATATATATATATTATCGCTTGGAGCGCACGAAAGGGAATCCCTCTAATGTTCAAAGAACATCGTGCGTTCCTAATTTGATTACGGATACAAAGACTCATCGATTATATGAACCTATCAAAATCCTGAAATATACTGAAATAAGAACATTCATGACATCTTCCAGGATAGCTCAGTATTGATCGAAGTTCTGATTCCTCAATAATTCAAAATAAAAAATAACTCACAAGAAACCAATGCCATTTGGTTCCGTGAATTCTCGAAAATCAATTGTCTTATGAAAACTCATAAAATTCATTGCATATTGGGATAGTAATGTCTTATACAATCTCATTGGTTTTCAAATATTTCATTCCACATACATTCAATTAGGATTCAATGTAATCGGATCTGTGGTTCCTCATTAGACGGTATGAATTCCTGGAAGATATTCTGCTTATAACAACCTGTAAGATACGATTGTAATCAACACTGAATTTCTCCATTGAACCTTGTAAATTTGGAGTCGTTTTGAATCATATTAATGCTCATAAAAAACGCATTGAATCAGATGCGGGATTCCTTATTACAGCTAATAAATGCTGCTCTCACTGTTTCCTGTCTTTCCACACGATATCATATACGATTATATTCGTTGATTTCTACACATATATCATACCTTCTCAGGCTCGTGAATGAGCAATGAAATATAATTGAGTATCGTGATTGGAAACCTTATACAAACAACTAACAGGATACAAAGTTATGTGTTAAATTGTGCCAGTCATTTTTAACCTTCAATCATTGAAACATATGAACCTTACAGGAACTTATAGAACCCTATATATATCAGCAATGAATTGTCTATTTCAAACTCAAGAATCCTCATTAATCCAAATTAGCAATGAGGATGAAGTGATGCAATATTCGAGATAAAAAATACTCACAAGTTTATGCATCATGGCGGATGTTCAACCTCTTGGTGCGAACAAAGAAACAGATCCCGTTGGTAATCATGAGTAATGTTCACATTTATCCAAAAGTTCTTTCAGATTGGAGCACTATCGAATCCACTACATTACACATGATATGATATGCAATTCACACCTCAATTCTCAACAATAATTTCAGAATAATGGGTATTCTCTCGAATCAAAACAGAGATACCTGTCTTCCTTCGCGAGCAACATAAACTAAAACAAATATGGCTGGCTAGTGGCTAGCTCAGTCTCAGAAGTACCAACGCAAAAAAGTTACTGTTTTGTTACCAACTTGAATTTTGTGTTCCCCTCTATGTGGAGACTTAATGACTCTCCAAGTGAATTTTCAAATGTGAATCTATGTGGATTTATGAGTTACCTATGTTATGAATTTG